GGGACGTAACTCTACTTAATGCGTCCGCAAACCAGACAGATCGCGGTCACCAAGTAACTATGGTTACACTTCAGTCTTCAACTCGTGCAAGAAATGTAAATACTTTAATAGTATTTCAGTTCTATAAACTTTCAAATAATTCTATATCTATTATCTGAGTATGGTCCAATACCACGATACTGGTGGATTTGGTAACTACATTGTGCAGATGGTGAATTGGTTCACTGATGGTGACAGTGGTTTCACGATCCGTAAACCGTATGGACGATCTGTGCAGATGGTGAATTGGTTGACGGATGGTGAAAGTGGTTTCACGATCCGTAAACCATATGGACGATCTGTGCAGATGGTGAATTGGTTGACGGATGGTGACAGTGGTTTCACGATCCGTAAACTATATGGACGATCTGCGCAGATGGTGAATTGGTTGACGGATCGTGAAAGTGGTTTCACGATCCGTAAACCATATGGCCGATCTGTGCAGATGGTCAATTGGTTGACGGATGGTGAAAGGGGTTTCACGATCCGTGAATGGTGCACATGGTGCCAGAGGGTAGACCCCAAAACACTGACGATCCGTGCGGATGGTGCGCATGGTGAATTGGTTGACGGATGGTGGAAGGGGTTTCACGATCCGCGAATGGTGCACATGGTGCCAGAGCGTAGACCCCATAACACTGACGATCCGTGCAGATGGTGCGCATGGTGAATTGGTTGACGGATGGTGGAAGTGGTTTCACAATCCGTGAATGGTGCACATGGTGCCAGAGGGTAGACCCCAAAACACTGACGATCCGTGCAGATGGTGCGCATGGTGAATTGGTTGACGGATGGTGGAAGAGGTTTCACGATCCGTGAATGGTGCACATGGTGCCAGAGGGTAGACCCCAAAACACTGACAATCCGTGCAGATGGTGAATTGGTTGACGGATGGTGGAAGTAGTTTCACAATCTGTGAATGGTGCACATGGTGCCAGAGGGTAGACCCCAAAACACTGACGATCCGTGCGGATGGTGCGCGTGGTGAATTGGTTGACAGATGGTGGAAGTGGTTTCAC